CCCCCACCCTCCTGACTGTTCTCTTTCCTGAGGAACTTCTGCCCGTCTCTTCTGCCTTGAACTACCCACTTGCCCATCTCTGAGCTGCCTCCCCAGGCCCCAGTCATACTTTCTTGGCAAGTTCTTTCCTTGGTACTCATCCCCTCCCTTATTCCCTTACCTTCCCAGAATTTCATTACCCTCGTCTACCTGTCTCCCCACCCATCCAATGACTCCTAGAAGCTCTCCTGTACCCTAAGAGATGGTAGGTCTGAAGAGGGGAACCCCACACACAGGGAGAAGAATCTCTACACTGTGTTGTGCCTTCATTATGTGCTGGGCATTGTAGTGGGCACTTTGTGTACAGTAACTCATGAAATCTACTATTATCCTCCATTGTACACATGAGGAAACTGAGGCAGGCTCAGAGATCGAAGGTCAGGTAGGGAGTGTGAAGACAAAAGCTGTATGTGTGTGTGTGTGTGTGTGTGTGTGTGTGTGACCCTGACCCCGGGTGAGTTACAGGTGTCTCCGCATCTTTGGGGATGAACGGTATCAATGAATTACACGCACCCCACTACAGCTCAGACCTCTGTGTAATCAGCAGGCTCTCCCAATCCAGAGGCTCTGAACTAAGAGAGGGCAAGGGTGATAGGGAAAAATGCAGACATCTGGCAGCAGGGATCCTGCCTCGGGAAAACCTGAGGCAGAACTAGGGAAGGAAGCCTGAGAAGGCCAGAGGGGAACTCCTCCCCACGCCACCCAGCCTGCGGAGCCAGAACTTGCAGCAGGCCTGGAACCGCAAGAGGTCCTGGAGTTCTCCCTGCTTGACCAGGAAGGAGCTCACTGCTCAGTGCCAGGCAACTCTCACTCCATCCAAAGAGCCTGAGACCCAGGTCTCCTGCCCTCTCCCACTTCAGGGGCGGGACTTCCTGTTTCTGAGGCTGTTTCTTTGCCTGGTTCAGCACAATAGGGCTGGTAGCTTTCCACTGGGCTCAGCAGTGTCTAGCCCGGTGTGGGTTAGCAAGGAAGGGTGTGTGTATGGCTGGGAGGAACATCCCCAAGAATCCAAAACCAGGACGCGAGTCAGCTCTCAAAGACACCGCCCCCCACCCCCCCACCCCGTCCACCCGGAGCGCTGCTGCTCTTGTCTTCTCCCGGGGTGGGTGGTAGGAGGGTGCCGCCGGCAGATTTTTTGTAGAGGGGAGGGGTCCTGACAGAATGTGCCATTGGCCACCCTCCTCCCTCTGCCCGGGAAAGCAGGAGACAGGTTAAAAACAGAAGCGCGACCGTTTCTTTATTAAATTATACAAAAAGGGGAGGGGAGGGGGGCAGCTGTGGGGCTCGGCCCCAACCCTGTTCCCACCCCGGCCTGGCGCTGTCTGAGAGAAGGGGATCTGAGGGAGACCTAGGGATCAGGCAGGGTAGGGATGGGCGGGATGTGAGGCTGGGATGCAGAGGTTAGGAAGGAGAGGCTTCCAGAGGAGGGTGGGGTTGGCTGCGGGGGTGGAGGAAGAGAGGAGGGAGAGGGCGGGGCCACTGGGGACCAGCTGGGGAGCTCAGATGGAGCAGGTCAGGAGGTGGAAGATGGCAGTGAGGATGGAGGGGGCAGTGTGTGGAGGGGCGGCTTGAGAAGGCTGGGGAGAGAGAGGGCGGCAGCTCTGGCGCGGGGCCCAGAGCAGGGAGCCAGGTGAAGAGCAGCTGTGCTCGGCTGCCCCTACCCTCACCTCCAGGCCCCCGAGGGGCCTCCCACCCCCAGCCCACTGGCGGCGGGGGGCTCATGCCGACGCCCCGTTCTCTGTCTTCTGCCGCTTGGGATCCGCTTCCTCCTGTGGAGAGGGAA